ATTTTTTTGTTACGGTCGGTCGGTTGATTGATTCGTTCGTTCGGTTTGTTCGTTCTTTCGAGTCGCCTCGTGTTGTGTTTTGCGCGTTGCGTTGTTATTTTTTTTAATGGTGGACGCTAAAAAAATAAACAGAATAAAAAAATCAAAGTAGAATGGAATAAAAAAAAAAAACGTAAAACAAAAAAGAAAAAAAAAAATAGAAAATTTTAAAATAAAAGATTTTCATTTAAAAATAAAACAACATGGTGTGTATTCGCTTTTATGTGTTCAAATACTTAGTGATTTTTTGTAGATACAAATAATGTTTTAATTTTCTTCAAAAAAAAAATCAACTATTTCATACATAACTACAACAACAACAGATATGTGATATTATTCTAGTAGATATGTTCGAACGTTTGTAGTAGTTTCAGTTTTGCTGGTACTTGAGAATAGTGCGACCACCACCAACACCACCACCTTTAAATTTTTTTTTCAACATTTTTTTTTTTTTTGAAATTTCTTTGCCTCTATAGTGTGTGTTTGTTATATAAACAATAAAAAAAGAAATAGTGTGCATATTTTATCGTTATGTTAAATTAATTGATTGATAAAAATAATAAAACAATAACAACAACATCGTCATCGTCATCCTCCTCATCGCCAAAAGAGAAAGGAATATTTTCCTCAAATAATTTTTTTCTAGTAAGTAAAGTAATAATTAAACGAAATTTTTCGTTTGTCAACAAAAATCTACTCGACTTGTTATGGAGGTGGTGGGGGTAAGGGGGACGAAATGACAACCACATGACATTTTGGTGTATTCAAAAAAAAAAAAAAAAAAAAACAAAGCAAATCAAATCGAATAAATCTGATGTGAAATATTAAATAAGTGATTTTTGTAAATATTGTTTTAAAAAATTGTGTCTTAAAAATAATTAAAATAAAATTACATGTGCTTACTGATTATATAATTAATGTTTTATGCACAAAAAATAATTATTTTTCCATTCATAATTATTAAATTAAAATTCACTGAGAAAAAAATCGCTAAATTGGCATTACTTAATATAAAGTTTACATGTTGTGTACTAAAAAAAAACAAATTAAAAATAATAATAAATATTAAATATCTAAACTTTGTTGATTTTTGTTTTGAAAAATTGTGTTAAAAATAATTACAATTAAATTACATGTGATTACTGATTATATAATTAATGATTTATATTAAAAAAAAAATAATTATTTTTCCATTCATGAATTATTAAATTAAAATTCACTGAGAAAAAAATCGCTAAATTGGCATTACTTAATATAAAGTTTACTTGTTGTGTATTATGAGGATTTATTTAACACAAATTCAATGGAATTGACAATTTAAACCCACTTGGTTAACGAAATTCGGTACAATGTAAACATACTAATAATATGAAATATCTGAATGTTGGTGATTTTTTTTGAGAACTTGTCTTTAAATTAATTAAAATTAAATTACATGTGATTACTGATTATATAATCAATATTTTATATATAAAAAATAAATATTTGTCCATTCGTGAATTATTAAATTAAATTCCACTGAGAAAAAAATCGCTAAATTGACATTACTTAATATAAAGTTTATTATGGGGATTTGTTTGACATAACTACAATGGAATTGACAATTTAAACCAACTGGGTTAACGAAATCTGGTACAATGTAAACGTACTATGATATGAAATATCTAAATTTTGCTGATTTTTTTTTTTTTTTAAGAAATTGTCTTTAAAATAATTTAAAAAAAATTATGTGTGATTACTCATTTTATAATTAATGATTTATATTAAAAAACAATAATTTTTCTTTTCATTCAGGATTATAAAAAGAAAATCCATGCGAAAAAATCACTAAATTGGCATTACTTAATATAATGTTTACATGTGTAAATAGTAAATAAAATGTGAGGCATACTTTTGTATGTTTATTATTTACATTTTAAGGAAACACAATTAGTGAATTAAAGTGCCGTGTGTAAACACGTCATTAGCTGAATTAGAATGTGCAATTTCTTACTACCAATGTCAATCGTCATACTTACAGTTTTATGAAATTTATTTTTCATTTTATTTGCAATTGATATATGAGTTACAAATTAAACAGGGTTGCCATCCATAATTATACCCCATGCGTTTTTATGCGATTATGTCAAAATTGAAAGCATTTTGACAGCTCGGGTGAAATCATCTGGCCTTTTCGGACGACCTTATTATTAGGGCATGACGCTAACCATTTTAATTTCGCCAAAGGCGTGTTTACACCGGACTAGAATGTGCAATTTTTCATTATGATATCGGAAAAATAATAAAAAATTAGTACAGGAATAGACCAAATATTAAACCGTTATTGGTGTACAACTTTCAATACTGTCAATTTAGCAATTTTTCTCAACAAATGAATGATGCGAATATAGTGTCTTCTGTTCTGTTCTATTGAAAATTTATCGATTTATAGTCCACATTTTGCATGTCCACCATTCATCAGACATCCACGTTAATATTCAGGCTTGTTGGTGGACAGTCAATAAAAAAGGCTGACAGCCAAAACTAATAGTGTATACTCGCCTTAAATAAAATACAGTGTAGTAGTACGTTTACATTTAATCGTATTTCGTATTCGGTTTCAATTGTCAATTCCTTTGTATATATGTCAAATATATAAAGTAGGTTAATCCGGTAAAAAGTTGTTATGTATATGCCGTTTAGGTTGCATTTTTTCTTACATTTTTCAAATTAAACCTAGCCTTTTATATACAATATTATATTAAAACTACTTTCCAGTAAATATAGTGAAATAAAAGTTTTTTATTGCTGAGAACAATTTTTAAACGTCATTCCTCTTTGATTTTTTTTTAATAAAAAACTTGTTCTATTCCATAATACATCTCCATAATAGTAATTTAATACCAGTCCTCAATTTTCTAACACGTGAGTTAAAAAAGTTTGTGTTAGGTCTTTAAGAGATTGTGAAAGTGAAATTATTTTGTCGATAAGATATCAAGGGGCATTTGAACAAATTTTAAATGAATATTAATAAAATTAATGAGCAAAGTAACATCGAAAACAATTGATATTTTATAATTTCAACAAATAAATTTTAATAGAATTAAGCAATGAATTGGTATTTTTCGATTTCTAGATCCCTATAGCAAATGCTGCCAAAATTTGTCACTTATTTAAAGAAAATTGCTAACCTTAATGTACGTTTTCATTGTACCGGATTAATTAATGTTCCAAAGTTAATTTCTGGGAGACCAGCTGGATATCAGCAAACTCTCAAGTTTGCTGTAAAAATCCATTATTGTGAATTGACTTCCTTTATACGAAACGTAAACAAAGTCCAAATTTTTGACATTAGACCTAAGAAAAACAGCTGATTTCACTAGCTGTGTAACTTTATTAAAAGATCTTGCATTTGTCCATTATTTTGGAATCAGTGGGTTTCAATTATCAATTCCTTTGCATATATGTCAAATAAATCCTCATAAATAGGTTAACCCGGTAAAAAGTTCTAATGTATATGCCATTATTTACTGATTTAGGAATTGTCTTTGATATTATTTAATAATTAAAATACCATTCCACTATTTTTCAAAACGTGAGCTCAACAAAAATGTTGTGTTACATCTTCAAAAGATTTTTTTAAAAATTCTTTTGTGAAATTCTTGTGGGCATTTAAAAGTACCATTTAACCGGATTTCGTTAACCCAGTGGGTTTCAATTGTCATATCCTTTGCATATATGTCAAATAAATCCTCATAAAGAAGGTTAACCCGGTAAAAAGTTCTAATGTACAAGGAGTTTAAGTAACTTACTTTTTTACTTTATCAGAGCGTATAACATATTTTACGTCACAATAACTATAAAATAGTTGAAAGGCGTTGTTGTAGATATGTTTTTTCTATTACATATCTGGTTATAGATAAAGTTGGGTAAATATATTTATTTATTTTTTTTTTTAATTCAATATTTTTTAAATTAGAAATTGTAAAAGTTGCAAAAATACCTTATATTTGATTGGGGTAATATGGTTAACAATACTAGACTCATATAAGGTCAGTTTGTAAATTCAGCTGATTATTAAATCAGCTGACTAATAAAACAGCTGACTACTAAAACAGCTGACTTTTAAAAGAAAACTAAAAAAATCGTTTATAGTAGATTGTTGTAGGTCCTGAAACATAATCTATATGTATTTTAAAAGCTTGAAATATATAACCTAAAAATTATTATTATCATCATCAAAATTTCGTAAAAAAATAAAATAAAAATTTTAAAAATAAAAAAAGTGTAATATGTCGTAATATTATAAAAGCTGACTATTAAACCAGCTGACTCATGGAATAATTACAGAAGGTAGTCTAATTTGAGAATTTGATCATGGCAATCCTTTTTAATTTGGAACGCATCTATCAATTTTAAATAATAGGAAAAATAAATTCTATAAAATTTTATGTATGACGACAATTGTCATATTTTCAATAAATAAAACAAAATATATTTTCTAAAGCTAAACATTGCTCTCAAGATTTAACTATAGTTGTTGCATCTTATATTTAGAAGCTTTAGAGGCGGTGAATTAAAAAATATTTATAAATATTTTTTATGCATACATTTCGAAGGAAGATCTTTTCATTTGAATTTTGAAAGCTGAATACTGTCAAAGGCTCAGATTTATGAAATAATTGGAAACATATGATTGCAGGAGACTACCTTGTATAATAATGCCATGCAGCTGACTATGAAACCAGCTGACTATCAAAAGAAAAAACTTAAACTAAATAATATTTGTATTTTATATTATATTATTTTTAATACAAATTATTTTATATTATAAAATAAGTATATTTATGTATTACTGTACTTCTTAAGTATTCCAAATTACATACATATGTATGAATATATTTTCGTTTTCGTTTTACCTACCTGATAATCAATAACTAACCATACATTCTTTTCTTTTTTCTCTTCTCCTTTTTTTGCAGAATGTCGCCAGACAATCCCACACAAATATTGACGTCTCATGATTTGAGCCAATTTCGTACCTTACAACAAACAGTGACACAGGCCACTGTCGTTGCTGCAGCCGCTGCGGCAACAAATAGTTTAAGAGCCGTTGCTGCAACCGGAACAAATATTAATCAAATACATCATCATCAGCAGCAACAGCAGCACCAACCACAACAACAACAAACTCCAACATCATCATCATCGTCGTCAACGATAAATATCACAACAGCCGGAACAGTAAGCACAAATAATTTGAGTAGTCTATTGGCGGCGGCCTCAAAGGTCTCCCAACAACAGCAGCAGCATCATCAGTTTTTCAACCCAGCAACGTCGACAGCATTTAATGCAGCAACAACAATGCCGGCCACATCAAAATATGTCCTTTTGCAACAAAATCGTAATGGCCAATTTACGGCCTATGATGGTGGCAGTGCAGCGGCAGCAAATAATGGCAACAACAGCAGCAATGGCAATATTGTGCTATTGGCAGCGGAGCCATTTGAGCCAGCCACACAAGAACATCATCATCAAACAACTAGTAGTCCCCATCATCACCTGCAGCAGCACTCAAGTCAGAATCAGCATCATCCTGCAACAGCATCAACAACAACAAATGACAATGATGAAGAATTACATTCATTAGCCTGGTTGAATAATTCTAATTTAATTAAGGAAATCGTAACCACAACAACAACGCCTTCAAGTAGTAGTAGTACTGCAACAACAACAAATCCTGCAATCACATCATCATCATCCTCTGCCTCAGCCTCAACAGTTGCCAAGCAACAACAACAGCGTTCCTTTTTCACCACCACCACCCACAACAACAACAACAATATATGCATTGTCAATGCCGCCAATGCCCATGATTTAATTGAGGAATTGCCTCATCATGTGGCCGGCGAGGAACAAGTCATAGCCACAAACATCTCGCCCAATTCCACGGCCGGTATTGCTGCGGAACTGCCAGCCGAAACCCAAATCACCACACTGAGTGTCAGTGATTTCCAGCAGCAGTTTAAACGTTTTAGTGCCGCCGATTTAAAGGATTTAAAATCGCATACGATCTATGGTAACATTGCGGCATTGGGTGCCACAACAACGGTACATGTGGGCCCCAGTGGCACCACCACTGTGGTGGAGTACAAAGCTGGTACGAATTTCATACCCAGCCGCCAGTTAATTGGCGGCGGCAACACAACAACAAGTGGAGGTGGTGGTGGTAGTGGCGGCCTGGTTGCCACTAATCTAAGCAATAACAATAATCATCAATATCATGCTACTTTTGTGCCTTCTTCTTCATCATCGTCGTCTTCTACCACATCCGGAGTGGGATCCAGTGCCGGAACTCCTTTAATAGTTACCAGCAATGCTGGTGGTAGTGGTTCCAAGCAATTAAATTTACCCAGTACTACTTCAATTGTTGCCAATGGCAACAGCAATACCACAACAACAACAATTTATCAAGGTCATAAACAACAAACTAACAATACAACAACACCCTCCTCCTCCACAAGCAGTACCACCACCAGCAGCAGTAGCAGCAGTAGCACAACCCATCATCCCCATAAAAAGTATTTAAGAGAGAAAATGAATGTTTTAGATCAAGGAGGTGGTGGTGGTGCTGGTAACAACTCTTCCTCTTCTTCATCACCTGCTGCATACTCGTCTTCGTCAAATAGTACAAGCACCAATACCACAACAATGGCTAATGTTACATCCAGCTCCTCCTCGTCGGCTGTGGGTTCTACCATTACCGTGGTCTCATCCCCAGCATCATCCAATACCTCCTTGTCATCCTCCTTGTCAACAGCAGCTATTAATGGCGGCAACAGTCCACCATTAAGTAAAACCTCTTATTTTACCCTAAGTGGTTCTTCGACACCCATAGCTCTCAACTACAGTAGCTCAAATTCATCGACAGCAGCCGCAGCAGCAGCTGCTGGTGCATCAGCATCATTTATAGCGGTTTCTTCGACAAATTCTTCATCATCGGCCGTATCACCAAACTCCTCGGGAATATGTACCACAACGGGTATACCGCCGGGTTATACATTAGTCAGTCATCCGGCATTGTCATTGGCGGCAACACCATTAACGATTACAACCACCACCAACAACAGCAGCAGCAGCAGCGGTAGCAATAACAACAACAATACATCCCATCATCAGCAGCAACAACAACATATTGTGGTGTAAGTATAAAAATAAATCCATATCGATTAAAAACTTTTGAAGGGTGAAAAAATATCGGAACCCTCCTTAAATTAGTTATGAATAGATATTTTGCAAGGACATGTAGGGGTATTTTTTTTTCTTAGTCAATGGGGGCACAAAATGTCAAGTAATAATTTATACGGTTGGAAAAACAAGTCCATAATTCTTAAAATTCGAAAAATCGGAAGCTACCCTTATATGGAGAACATACATCAAGTTGGATCGGTATAGATAATTGAGGGCAATGAGATTTTCTACGCAATCAGAAAACAGAATATAAAATTAACAACATTTCGAATGCAAAATTCGTCCACAATCCTTAAAATATCGAAAAATCGGAAGATAGCCTCACGTAGAGGATATTTCTTAAGGTGGACTGACTTAGGAACATTTTGCTGGGGAGATTTTCAATTCAATTTGAACGCAGAATATTAAATTACAGCCAATTCGGTTGAAAAAATTGTTCAAAATTCCTTAAATACCGAAAATCCGAAGGTACCTATATAAGGGGGATATACCTGAAGGTGCACCGATTTACATAATTTTTGGTAGGGAGGTTTTCCACCTAATACTAACCCAAAATATCAAATTTCAACCAATTCGTTTGGGAAACAAGCCCAAAAGTCTTGAAAAATCAAAAATCGGAACGCCGGTAACATGGGAAATGTCCCTAAAACTGCCCCGATTTAGATAATTTTTGGTATGGAGATGATCTATATTATCAGAAACCAGAATATCGAATTACAGGCAATTCTTTTAAGAAACGAGGCCAAGAGTCTTTAAAATCGGAAGGTTCCGTTACATGGGAAATGTTCCTAAATGTGGACCAATTTAGATAATTCTTGGTATGAAGATTCTCTACCTCATGATAGCTCAAAATAAAAAATTACAGCCAATTCATTTAAAAAACAAGTCCTAAAGCGTTAAAACATCGAAATCGAAAGGTACCGCTACATGGCAAATGGCCTAGATGTGGACCGATTTAGATAATTTTTGGTATGGAGATTCTCTACCTCATGATAGCCCAAAACATCGAAGTACAGCCAATTCGTTTGGGAAACAAGGCCAAAAGCCTTAAAATACTGAAATTCGGAGGATACGTTTACATTGGGGATATACCGAAAAGCGCACTGGCTTTGAAAAGTTTTGGTATGGAGATTTTCTATGTAATCAAAAACCAGAATGTGAAATTAGGGTCGACTCTTTTTGAAAACAAGACAAAAAGTCTTATAAACCGAAAATCGGAAGGTCCCGTTACATCGAAAATGTACCTAAAAGTTCGCCAATTTAAATAATTTTGGTGTGGAGATTCTCCGTTGCATGGAAAGTATACCTAAAAGTACACCGATTTAAAAAAATGTAACATACCCCATTCGGTATGATGCTGCAAAGCTGTAGCTATATCTGTACCTGATCCGAGTCCAATGAAACTTAACACTCGTTATTCCAGACTCGATTCAATACGCTACGCAAATTTTCGTGTAAATCGGACAAATATTGGGAGTTTGTTTCATCATTTACGTAATATCGGACGATAATACATATGGGAGCTATATCGAAATCTGAAGCGATTTCAATAAAACTTAACACACTTCATTCTAGACTCAATTCAATACGCTGTGCAAAATTTCGTGTCAATCGGACAAGAATTGAGAGTTTAGTGCGTCATTTATGTAAAATCGGACGATAATATATATGAGAGCCAGGGACGTACGCAGGGGGGGAACCCGGGGGGCCCGGGCCCCCCCGAAATGAATTTTTTCCACTGTAAATTTATGTTTACAACCGCGAATTTTTCATTTTGTACTGCCGGGTTCGTCCTTGGCCGAAATACTACATAGGACATATTTTAATAATATTTAATTAAAGTTTTTTTATTCGTTTCTAACCTATAATTTTCTTCTTTTCTTATTCCAGTTCCTCGCCAAATTTAATGGTTTCACCTGAAACGCAAACGCAACCTCAACACACAACCAAAGAATATTATAATTTAAGTACACCTCAACAGTTACAACAACATTTGCAACAACAGCAACAACAACAAGCAATACGTAGCCCTACCTCCTATTCAAGTTATGACAATGATTCTCTAAAAGATTTCGAAATATCCAATAGCAATTCAAATATTTCAAGCCAAAGAATAAATGGTTCAACGCCACAATTACATCAGCAGCAACAAGCACCCTTAACACCAAAATCATCCTCTTCCAGCTCTTTAACAATTAACACAAACAGTTCGAGTAACAACAACAACAGCAGCAGCAACAACAACATGGTTACAACACCACAAAAACAAAAACATGCCAATAAAGTGCCATACGATCCATTGGTACACACACACAATAAGCCACCATATAGTTTTAGGTAAGGAACGAGCATCCTGACAATGTGTCCGCAGGATTTTTAATAATTTTTTTCCAATGTTCTTTTTTTTAGTTCCTTAATATTCATGGCCATTGAGGGTTCCGAAGAAAAGGCCTTACCCGTAAAGGAAATCTATGCCTGGATTGTTCAACATTTTCCCTATTTTAAGACCGCACCCACTGGCTGGAAGAATAGCGTACGCCATAATCTATCATTGAACAAAAGTTTTGTTAAGGTGGAAAAGGCACCGGTAAGTACAGAGGGGTATTAATATCATACCAAAATCATCGATTCCTAAGCTCTTTATAAAGACTAATTGGGCTGTATAGAGACCACCGGGCTTTATAAAGATCAATTGGGCTGTATAGAGACCACCGGGCTTTATACAGACCAATTGGGCCGTATAGAGACCACCGGGCTTTATACAGACCAATTGGGCTGTATAGAGACCACCGGGCTTTATACAGAACAATTGGGCTGTATAGAGACCATAGACCAATTGGGCTGTATAGAAACCATAGGGCTGCATAGAGATTTTACGATTTTCCCTCCTCTTATATTTTTATATTTACACATGTCTTCTTCTTGTTTTTTACTTCTTTCAGAACATGGGCAAAGGTTCCTTATGGCGTGTCGAACAAATGCAACGTCAAAATCTAATACAAGCCCTAAATCGTTCACCATTCTTTCAAAACTCCTCAGCGGATAAGATCAATTTGAAGAGTCCTGGCGGTACAATGATGTTGCCATCAAATGGCTCTGGTGGCTACGATCTGGTTCTTGATGGCTCGAAATCATCGAATGGCGGCGGCGGCGGCGGATCAACATCCCATATTAATTCACGTTTCGATCCAAATCTATTTCCAAATTTATCGAAAGCTTTTAAAGATATCAGTGATGTGGTACCCGATGTACCCGATGATGAATATCCGTCCGATTATAGTACAACAACCAAAGGGAATAATATATTTAATGCTACTAATCTATCCTCAACACCACATAAAAATAATCCGAACAATGGTTATATCTATCAGAATGTAAACAGTCCCATAAATGTTCCAAATGGAAATAATGCTATCGGCATTGGAGGAGCGGAACATAGTAATACCTGCCAAACAAATAATCATAATTCATCATCGTTAATGGGTACATTTAGCAATTATGAGAGTATCGAACGTCTGGCCCGTGACTGTGGGGCGGAGAGTATAGATGATGTTAATGCCGCCACCGCAATGTTGGCCTTAAAACACGGACCAAAAGTTTTTGAGGAGACCTTTCAAAATGGGTGAGTTTCCGATGCTCTTCTTTCGCTTTTTATATAAAAATAGACAAATGGGCTTTATAAAGACCTCAGAGGGCTCTATACAGGCCAATTGAGCTGTATAGAGACCACCGGGCTTTATACAGCCCAAATGTTCTTTATAAAAACCGATGGTCTCCATGTATAAAGACCTTTGGTCTCTATACCGGCCAATTGGCTGTATAAAGACCTTTGGTCTCTATACCGGCCAATTGGCTGTATAAAGACATTTGGTCTCTATACCGGCCAATTGGCCAGTATAAAGACCGAGGGTCTCTATACCGGCCAATTGGCCTGTATAAAGACCCTTGGTCTCTATACCGGCCAATTGGCCTGTATAAAGACCCTTGGTCTCTATACCGGCCAATTGGCCTGTATAAAGACCCTTGGTCTCTATACCGGCCAATTGGCCTGTATAAAGACCTTTGGTCTCTATACCGGCCATTTGGCCTGCATAAAGACCTTTGGTCTCTATACCGGCCATTTGGCCTGCATAAAGACCTTTGGTCTCTATACCGGCCATTTGGCCTGCATAAAGACCTTTGGTCTCTCTACCGGCCAATTGGCCTTTATAAAGACCGATGGTCTCTATACCGGCCAATTGGCCTTTATAAAGACCGATGGTCTCAATACCGGCCAATTGGCCTTTATAAAGACCGATGGTCTCAATACCGGCCAATTGGCCTTTATAAAGACCGATGGTCTCAATACCGGCCAATTGGCCTTTATAAAGACCGATGGTCTCAATACCGGCCAATTGGCCTTTATAAAGACCGATGGTCTCTATACCGGCCAATTGGCCTTTATAAAGACCGATGGTCTCTATACCGGCCAATTGGCCTGTATAAAGACCATTGGTCTCTATACCGGCCAATTGGCCTGTATAAAGACCATTGGTCTCTATACCGGCCAATTGGCCTGTATAAAGACCTTTGGTCTCTATACCGGCCAATTGGCCTGTATAAAGACCTTTGGTCTCTATACCGGCCAATTGGCCTGTATAAAGACCTTTGGTCTCTATACCGGCCAATTGGCCTTTATAAAGACCGGTGGTCTCTATACCGGCCAATTGATGAACAATAATTGAAATTTGTAATATTTTTTTAATAAAAAAATATTTATTGGTTTTTAGAGCCCCTGTTATCACATCTTCCCCCAGTGAAGATCACACCTATTCCGCCGGTGGTGCTGCTGGTACTGGTGGTAGTAGCGGCACCGGCAGTGGTGCCTCAACACCGCTAATAAATGGCGGCGGTTCAGCACTAATCTTAAATGGTAATGGCCATTTGACGCAATCCCACAATCAAGGCTGTGCCGCTGATAATCAAAGCAATTGTGCATCTTCGGATGCGGCCTATGAGAGTAGCGAAGAAAGGTAATTTAATAAATTTTCATATTTTAAATAAATTATTAATTTTTTATTTTTATTTTAGCCACAACATAACACCCGAAGAATTGGAAGATCAACAACGCCATCGCGATGGTGTAGATGCCTTACTTTCACTTTCTTTATCCTCAGGTATTGATACTAGTTCTACAACCACCAATAGTCAAAACTCCAGTCTTAGCTCTAACTCACCGATTAAAAGACCACCTTCGACCACTGTGGAGGAGGAACACCACATATCCATTCATATGGATAGAGACAACAACAACAGCAGCAGTAGTAGTAATTATCTTAATCAGCATCAGACTTTGCAACAACAGGCCCACAATATGAGCAAAATGGCCTTGCTTAGTACGGCGGCAGCCAATTTGGCCTATGTCAGTGTTAATAATAATAGTGGTAACCGACTTAATAATAATTCCTCATCATCGGCATCCCTGTTGGATGAAGGCTATAATACCCAAAGTTATTTTGGTTCCTCCACAACAAATGCCAATGGCTCCGGTGGCGGCGGAATTAATCATCACACCCACTATGGTGGTGGTAATCACAATCAGCACCATCATAGCCTACACCATGGCCTAACCACCACCAGTCGCAAACCCAAATCCTTGAAAAGTTTACGTACCAAAATCAAGCGTAAGGCCACCTGGATGAGATGAACTTGGTAAGAGAAGTAAGGGGAGGGAAGCTGGGAGCAATTGAAAATATTTATAAAGAAGAAAAAAAAAAATAACAACACTAAATAAATTATCTAGGGAAATAAAAAATAGTACATTTTTTTGTTAATCAAATTGTTTGAAAAACATCGTAACTTTATTTTTTTATTTATAAATATTTTCAATTGCCGGAAGAGATATTAGCTGCCTTGTTTTTTATTAATTATTATTATATTATAATTCATACGCGTTTTATATATAAGTTGCAATTTGTTTTTATTTTTTTAAATTTTGTAATTTAAGCAACCATGTTATTAATACTTCCCTGTTTTATCCAAACTTCCAAAAAACAAACAAAACAAAACTTTAAGCAAATTTATTAAAAAAAAACTAACTTTATAAACAAAAATTAAATATATATACACATAAATAATAATATTATTATATACATTTAAAACTTTAAATAGATAATCTAGTGAAAAATATCATCTAAATCAAATTAATTCTATATACACATATTAAAAAAAAAAAACTAAAACAAAAACAAAAAACCTTGTTAAACAATAATGTTATCACAAAAAAATGATGTTTAGTCAATAAGTGTTTGCTCTATATTATTGTTTTACATATACATATATATATTATAAATATATTTATATAATGTTTTAACTTTCATTTGCTCTATTTTCTTTTAGTTAAATGCTATTACGTTTTCAACAAACATTTTTTTCTCGTTGTTGCTTTATTAGTTTACAAACTAACTTTATAAAAGAAAAACAAACAAACAAAAAAAGCCACAACAAAGCCTATATTTGTTATTAAACAATAAAAAAACAAACAAAAACAAAAAACCCCATTAACATAAATTCAAATATTTTTTTTTTAGTGAAAGAAAAAACAAAACATAACGTGTTAAAAACGCATTATTATTATCATTTGAAAACAAACAAATATATATATAACAAAAATAGATTCTCGTCTATATATAAAGCATAGTATCTAAAAATATATAGCCTAATGTTTAAACAAACTAAAAAAAATATATAAATAAAAATACATCTAGAGCCTTATGTCCAACTAAAACTAAAAAACAACTGTTAAAAAACACCCCAAGACCAAACAAACAAAAATCAAAATGTTTTTTTATATATACATACAAGAGAAAAAAACTAAAGAGAAAATATTATAAGCAAAAAATGGGAACTATAAAAATTACTAGTTTCAATTTAAAAAATATATATATTTAAAAAAAAAAATATAATTTGACACAAGTGCTATAGCCAAAATTATATATTTGTAAAATGTTCCAGTCCATACATAATAAAAGGCCTATTAAAAAGGTATATATTTCAAAAAAAATATGCGGTTATAAACAACAACAAACATTCTTTTTATTTATTTTCAATAATTTTTATGTTCGATACATTGTTTACAATGATGTACTTCACCCCTTCCGTAGCCTACAACTTGCTTACTTAGCTGGCTTGTGACAGAACAATTGTTCCATATGTCGAGCTTAAAAAAAAAAAGATTTCCAAGCGCGTTGGTCTTGTGCGGAACTCATCTAATTTGAAAGACCATGTTCCAAGTTATTTTCTTTTATTTGATCTTTACATCGGATTCGTGGCTTTCCCCTTTTGCGTGAACTCATCACTTGGTTCGCTTTTATATGCCTTTTGTGTGTGGGGGGTATCGCTGCAGCTGCAGCTTGATCCGTCTGACTATGTCAGTATAGCTCATGGTTTATTCGACGGCAACCCATAGATTTTCCGAAGAATTTTTCTCTCAAACACTCCTAAAGCTGCCTCATCTGCTTGCGCAAGTACACATGCTTCAGATGCATACAACAACACAGCACTGGCAATTTCAGCGTCTTGTAGAGCGGGTGTTTGGTCTGGCGAGGGGTGGCCTTGTTTCTAAACTGCTTACATAGACCATAGTAGCATCTGTTGACCAACACTATCCTTCTCCGAATTTCAAAGCTGATGTTAATAGTTTTGTTTATGGCGGTACCGAGGTATATAAAATCGTTAACTACTTCGAAGCTGAAGTTTTCACGTTCTATAGTTAGTCCGAGCCTACTGGACGTCTTGTAGCATACAAATTATTAACATTAATTGACCACTCAATTGAGTCAATGGGAGGAATTTACTCTGCCCTTCTCTCTATTGGATTTAGCCCTAAGTCTATAGGCAATGGACTTGTAGGCCCGGACGGACAATTGCATAGATGGTGTGTGTGTCGTGAAGGCTTTACTGGCCGGAGGGACACTTATTTTGGGTTCCGGGGACAATGCGCTCTCGAATCGAGTTGAAAACATTGCTTAGTTGTGCCATCGTATCGAGTGGGTTTGCTAGGAAGAATCCTCTCTCACTGTCCGAAATGGCAGAAGGATGTTATTGCATCTGTAGCCATTTATGGCTTCGGAGGCAAAGGCCAGTTGATGCACGGATTTCATAGCATTCGCTATTGACAATCTGTTGACTCGTTGGAATGACACCTTGGATGCCATCGCAATAGTGCTTGAAGTCCTGACGGATGCCAGCAGGAACTATCTATTCAACAACACATTATGTTTTGCTTGACTGAAAGCATCCTGGTCTCCTCATGGAGGTGAGGCAATTCGGAGTACATTATTTTGAGTTGTTTGCAAGGATCTCCATTTTGTGTCGCCGCTAAGGAAAGAACTCCAGACTGGGGTAGCATAATTAATTAATAAAATGACCTATGGCCATATATGTCGTTACCAACGTTTCTTTATCGTTGCCCCAGGAGTTGCCAGCCAAACCTTTCAGAACTTGTTTTTAGCTTTCACCTTCTGGAGGTTATCGAAGACCAAAGCCAAGAGTTTTCGGATTATGGACGGTGGGGATGTGCCTACCTTCAATGAAAAAAAAGTTGTTTGGATGCAGAGGGGACTTTCCAGTGCTGCGGTCGTCGTTGTGAACAAGATATATTGCTAAGATCATCCAGGATCTATTAACTGAGGTCAACCAAGATCTATTAAATAGGGTCACCCATTGCACAATAAATAGGTAGTCCATTTAGAACAGCTGATGTCTCGATTAACTGCCAAAATGGGTAATTCCTACTTGAATTCGATGTGCAATGTTGCCAACCATGTGAAAGGAAAAATTTGGCAGAAGATCGAGACAAAAACAAAGGTTTTTGTTTTGATACATCGCCTTAGTATTGCATCATGGGGTCACCCACCTAGCGAAAGTCAGCTGTTTTTTCTCAAGTCTAATGTCAAAATGTTGGACTTTGTTTACATTTTTATAATGGAAAGCAATTTACAATAATGGGGTTTGACAGCAAACTTGAGAGACAGCTGATATACAGCTGGTCTCCCTGGACGACCTTATTTATAGGCCTTGAATATTTTCTGATGTACCGGAAAAGGCAAAATCTATTAATAAGGCAACCATGGCACATTAAATAGGTAGTCCATTTAGAGCAGCTGATGTCTTGATTAACTGTCAAAGTGGGTAATTCCTACTTGAATTCGATGTGCAATGTTGCCAACCATGTGAAATATTATAAGGAAAAAATTGACAGAAGGTCGAGACAAAAACAAATGTTTTTGTTTTGATACATCGCTTTATTATTGCATCATGTTCTACTCTATGCGAAAAAAACCTCTTCTCTATTCTTCTTATAGATCTACAAGAGAGTTTGATTTTTGTAGGAACAGAAAATAGCTTTCGGACTGATCCCGTACTCAAAGTGTAGTAAAGCTTTTAAAATTTATGAAATGTTATAAATGCATTAGCTCGATTTCTTGGCTAAATCGAATCATGTTTAGCTTGACCGATTAATAAGGTCACGGTCAAGTCTAATGTCAAAAATGTTGGCTTTGTTTACGTTTTCATAATGGAAATCAGTTTGCAATAACGGATTTTGACAGCAAACTTGAGTGTCAGCTGATATCCAGCTGGTCTCCCTGTATGACCTTTAATCATGAAAAAAGCGCATTATGAAAACGTAAACAAAGGACAAATTTTTGACATTGGACTTGAGAAAAACAGCTGATTTTCGCTAGCTGGTTGACCTTAATAATAGATCTTGACTCTGATATTTCTTTATAATTTAATATTTAATGTATTGTGAAGGAATTTTTGGTTCAAAAACAGGGTTGTATTGGAAATTATCGCGATTTAGTATAGAGTTTCGAGCAAATGAAGATAATAAGGTGTTTGTATAAAATCGAGATAATACACATTAAACACGCCTTTAGTTTGCAAATAGAAACACTCAGATATAACATAAATAATATAGAGTAAAAAAATATATTCATATACTTCTTGTACCTTTTTGGAGCATAACTATTATTATTTAACGTTATACATATTCAATAAAAGAGCAACAATATTTATACTTAAATATCAATATACCTAGAAGGAAAAACAAACAAAAAAACACTATACCGTAAGCTTTTTAACGCCTTTTTCTAAACAAATAATTTTTTTCATAAGATCTGTTTTAGAAATGAATTTAAGCACATGTGGCAATATCTATTATATATTTTACATAAAAGAATAAAAATAATCATTAAAAAAATAAACGAAAAAACAAAATTAAGAACACTTAATTGTTTAATATTTCATTTTGATCAGAATTTAAATATTATTGAATTTATTTTGTTGTGTATAGTAACTAAAGGAGAGTTTAGATTTACGAAATCCACTAGATCTCAAATATCAATTCCATAGCGTATATGTCAAATATAATCCACTGGATTTGTAAACAGAGGAGTGGATTTAGTAGTCTAAACGTAGCCTAAAACTCCTTGTACATTAGAACTTTTTACCAGGTTAACCTACTTTATGAGGATTTATTTTACATATATGCAAAGGAAATGACAATTGAAACCCACTGGGTTAACGAAATCCGGTTAAATGTAAACGTACTTTAAAACTGCATATACATTAGAACTTTTTACCGGGTTAACCCACTTTATGAGGTTTTATTTGACATATATGCAAAGAAATTGACAATTGAAA